TGTGGTGCTGAAGACGGGCTGCGGGCTGGGGGGGGGGGGCGCTGCTAGTTCCAAAAACAGCACTGATCACATGGGAGGGGACGGGAGGGGTGAGAGGGCGCTCGAGCTCCGAAGCTCCTTCCCACGCACACCCACCCGTGCCAGGGATGTGGGCTGACACCTGCCGAGATCCCAGGCGGCAGGACCCCGGCCGCACCCATCCTGGCCCCAGGCATCCTATGGGCGGCAGAGCTAGGGACCTGCCAGTCAGATCGAGGCTCCTACCCTGCCAGCCTTCAGGAACTCCTCCCGACTCCTAGTTTTTTCTCCCCCGGGCCTTGCCTGCCTGACCACTCCCGTCTCTCCTGCTTCATCCTGGCGCCCAGCAGGAGGTACCAACTCGGGACCAACCTTGGACCCACCAGCCCTTCTCTGAGCTCAAGCTGGGCCCTTGGGCCTGGGGGACAAACGTCCTCCACCCACTGAAAGCCTTGATGACTAGGCCCAGTCTGGGCAGCCAACTGCACACAGTGGCCCCCGCCCAGCCCCGCCCCACAGTGTCTGCAAGGCCCTGACAAACTCTGAGGTCGGCTTCGTTTCCCCTGCTGGGTGCACCTGCCCAGCCAAGGACAGGCCTCGTTACCACCTCTAGGCCCTTGGTGTGGTGTGTTTTGTTCCAGGGCCCTCGGAAACCAGGGGTTATGGTGACTGTCTTCCTGGGCTCCGTGGGGGGGCCCATCCCTCCTTAGCCTACAGACACTGCCATTTCCATGGCGACAGAAGCCTGAAACACATGCACCCCCAAAGCCTGACTGACCAGCCTGACCAGCTTCCCCTGGGCACCTCTGGATGCATGCCAGCAAGGCTGGAGACGATGGGCAAGGCCCTTCACCCACAGCCTGCTCCTCGCTCAGGCTGAATTCATGGCCGCTGGGCCCCACCCGGTGTACTCATCACTATGTCCTCCAGGTCTGCCTGGACCACCCTCTCAACTCCACCCCACATTGATATTTGTAGGATGGCTCTAAGGATGGACTGGCTGGGGACAGGGGTCTTCTAGGAGGGGCCCCTGAGGGTACCAGTCCAAAGGGTGGATGGGGCCAAAGGGTGGCAGCAGAGGAATAGGTGGGGAGGGGGCAAAAGAGGCTCCCTGGTGCTAAGGGGCTCTTCTGGGTCTGTGGGAAGGGCCACAGGTCAGGGGACACTGAGCAGTGGTCCTGGCCTCGTCTCATGGCCATGGAGGTTGACAGGCTGGGCAGTGACAGGGTCAGATGGACTCCTGGTATGGGAAAGGGCTGAGTCCAAGGGAAATGGGCAGGAGCCTGAGTGGCCAGGTCAGAGCACCAGGCACTGGGCAGGTCCCCCCACCAGACCACCCCCGAGCAACATGGTGCCCTGTGGTCCAGTCCTGCTCTGCTGCAGGGAACCCAGGTTTGGCCCAGTGGTAGATGGAGAGGCCCAGGCTGGGCAGTACTGTGGGGTACAGCTTTGGCAGGACAGGTAGGCTGTCATGAGATCTCCAGGCAGCCCCCAACCTTTTGAGGCATGACCACCTGCTGTCTTGGGAAGGCCTGTCCTGGGCTGTGGGGACAACAAAGCTGGGAAACCCATTCCTGGGCCCCTGCCCTCCCCACCTGTGCCCAGCCCCCAGTTTTAAGCTCAGACCTCCAAGCAGCTGGGAGACAGGTGGCAGGTGGCAGACACAGGTGGCAGGAGCTTGGCCCTGCAGTGGACAGTGCAGCCAGCATGGAGGGATGGGGGTACGGACCCAGGTGGGAGGGGGTCCCAGTCTCCTCAGGGCAAAGCTGAGCCTGCCCTTGCCCATACCCAATGTCTCCAGGAAAGGCCAGGCTTCGGAGAAGCCAGTGACTGAGGAGGGGAAGGGCGCCAGGCTGGCAGGTCCAGAGCCCCTTCCCTTCTTCTAGACCCCCAAGTTGAAAGAGGCCTCAGAGGCTTTCTTGAGGACTGAAGGGCAGACTGCTGACCCAGGGATCATGGGAGGATGGGTAGTGTGTGCACTGCAGTCACGTCCTCAACACCCAGGGCTTGTCACGGAGGCAGGCGCCCCCTTATCTCTGTCCCACGGCAGGAGCAGAAGTGGTTTCTATTTTAATTCGAGGTCTCTGTACATCCCAGGTGCCTGAGTGGGGTGGGGGCAGGAGGCAGAGCCCACTGACCCCCAGAGGGGCCAACTAGAGGGCAAAGCCTCAGGGCAGGCTCTGGAGCCCAGATTCCTCGCCCCAGCTGGTCTGCCTGCACCTGTCCCAGTGCCTGCGAGGGTAGGCGCAGGAGACAAGCAAATGGAGGGCTTCCAAGCAGAGCCTGCCAGTGAGATCTCAGCAAGCCTGAGAAAGGTCTGGATGCAGTCACAGGGACAGGGCTCTGGTGGAGCCCGAGTGGGGCCCAACCCTGAGACACAGTCCTGGTGGCAGGGTCAGCCCCTTGCTGTAGTCTTTTTTTTGTTTTGGGACAGGGTCTCACTATGGAGTTCAGGCTGGCCTTGAACTCATTATGTAGCCCAGGCTGGCCTCGAACTTCTGGCGAGCCTCCTGCCTCAGCTCCCCTCCCCCCAAGGGCCGTGATTACAGGCGTGTGCTACATCTGGCTTCCCTTGCTGCCGTCTTGGCTCACTCAGCTCACCTCAGGGCCCAGCTGCTCCACATACGGCCAGCAGCCCAGCTTGCCCACTTGCCTCGGAGGGCTAGGTGGGAGGGCCCTGGCACTGGGACCACCTAGGGAGGCGTCCTGTTCCAACCTGCCCAGGCAGGGCCTGGAGTCCTCAGAGGTGCTCGGGGCAGGAAGAGCCTGAGGCTGGAGAGGTGAGAACAAAAGACACAGAGAAGGGCTGGCTGGGTTTTTTCTTTTTTACGAGATTTTTTTTTCTTTGTTTTTGTTTAATATGAAAATTATTTGAAAAGACAAGGGGCCAACCCCACCAGGCAGCCTGGCCACCACCTTCAGCTGCACCGATCCTAACATTCCAGGTGTAAGTTACAGAGCTCAAGTTCATCTACAAAAAAAGTAATAAAAATAAAATTTAAAATGGCACCTTCAACAGAACACAACAAAAACCTTGGGCCTGGCCCCAGGCAAGAGCCCCACAGCACTCAGGGCTGGGGCCCACCCTCCTCTCTGCTCCAGCCAAAAGGTAAACACAAAGCTAAAAAACAACTCCTTGGCGTTCTTGGAATAAGTTAAAGCACACTTCTTCCCCAACATCCGCCGAAGGAGCTGTCTCTGCGCAGGAGGGCAGGAGGTGGGGCACTACTGAAACGCAGGGTGCAGGGTAGGTGGGCAGCGCTGGCAGGGGAGGAGGCCACCCAGCCGTGCAGGCCTCGAAGACACGGGCGGGCAAGGGGGCTGGCGGAGGGCTGGGTGGGCTGTGGGCAGGCGGCCTAGTCCTCGATGACAATGGGCTCGTCGTTGACCGGCGCAGGCGGGGGTGGCCGCAGCGGTAGGGCCTGGCTCTGGCGCAGGGCAATGGGCTTGTAGGGCCGGCGGGCAGCACGCTTGGTCTCCGACGATGAGAGAAGCTTGCGGATCTTCCTGTGAATGGGAGTAAGGGCTGTGAGGGCTGGAAGGTGGCCGCATGCCCTGCCCATCCCCCGCCTGTGCCCCAGGACGGGCCCCACCTGGTCTCCTCAGTGGCCATGTAAAACACGTCATCGGGGGCGTCAATCCAGTTCATCCGTCGCCTCTTGACAGGGGGCAGCGAGCCACCCCGGATCAGGCGCACTTTGGTGGGGTACGACTTTCCGTTGAGCAGTAGGTTACGGCTTGGTCCCTGGAGCAGAGGAGGGGCGTGAGGCAGCCTCTGGGCCTCCGCGTGGCATCCCACACCCCAGGAACAGTGCCTCAGGCAGCCAGGTCCAGGCCAACCCATTTTGCCAATATGCAGCCAGCAGACTTGGCTCAGGAAAGGCAGGAGCTCTTTGAGGGCTATTCAGGCCCAGAATGGCTGGGCCTGGCATGGCCTCCTGGGTTCCACCCAGCCTCCCAGATGTTCCCAAGCACAGAGCAAACAGCTGTGTGCACTTGGTGCCATGTGAGCTGCGCCACACCACCACTGTCCCTCTTACCATGTGCCTGGTCTGTCCGTGGTTTGCCAGACCTGGTGAGAAAAGGGCAGAGATGAGGCTGAGATGGGCATGATCTCCTCACACTGCAGATGGCCCTCGATGGGCACAGGATGCAGCCTGGAGATGAGGATGTGGGTGCTCAGCTCCCCTGCATCCCAGCCTACCCATACAGCCATGGAGATGGCCCTCAGGCTCTGGGGACAGCTCTGTGCTGGCCAACAGAAGGCACAGACAGAGAAAGCTCCCTGGGCCAAAGCAGGCTGCCCGCCAGCCTCCAGTGGAGCCGGGGCAGATGAAGCCTGGCATTCACAGTAAGCAGGCTCTACAGGGCACAGCTGCCAATTCAGCAGCACACCCCAGGCCCCTCTGCAAGCACTCACACCCCAGAAGGCAGAGCTGCCCACAGACTGGGCCAGACTTGGGCCATGGCCCCCAGGGATGTGCTGATTGAGGGCCTGGGAGGAATGTCACTGGAGTGAGGCAGAGAGGTCAAAGTCTGGGCACCAGAGCTCACCATCCCACTAGGGAGCCCCAGCTGGGCCCACCTAGCCTGCCTGAGAGCAGAAGCCAGGGCTGGTCTCTAGAGGGCTTACCCCACAGGGGACAGGGCAGGTGCCTCACTCAGTGTGGGCCCTCCAGGTCCCCAAGTGCTGAGGTC